CAGAATGGAGATCTGTACTTGGGATTCCTCGAGAAGCCATATTGCCTTACCGAATCTGCACCATTTGTCTCCGATTGCCCGGCCTGTGACAATTCTGTCACTGCTGCATTCCAGTGTTGCGCCTAAACGCCTAAACTCTGCCCTGCCAGGATGGCATGCCCTGGCTGAGATGAATGCCTGGGTCTGAGGCAAAAGGATACCCACAGTGCCACGGACCACGAGACTTTGCTGCACGCCCACTCTTTTCCCATGCACAAGAAACCAACATCTGATATCGCTCGCTGACTCAACAGGGGGACGCCATTATCATTCGCTTAGCGAGCCAATCACGACAGTATGACGTTGGAGAAACCCACCCTGACGTCCCAGATCGGTTCAAGGGCGAGGTTCATCCCTGCTTGCGGGGGCGGGCGCCGGACGGGCGACTCAGTTTTAGCATTTTCTGATGGTTTTTTTTTTTTCCTCCTTTGTTCTTCCCTCAGATGACCTGCACGAAATTTGACGACCACTAGTGCTTAGTCATCCGCCAACTCTTCACATCGCGACTGAGTATCACCAGAATTGATTGATATATGCACGCGCTGCACATTTTGTTGACTCGTCATCGTGTACATTTCTCGAACATAAACTCTAAGATTCTCTCTCGTTGAGAATTCGTTTTGATTACCGCTGCGTCAGGTGGAGAAAGACAAGTAGGAATCACAACGAATTTTAGCTATCTTAGTATAATAACAATAAGAAGTGAGACGGATCGATATGATGGAACTTTCTTTGCGCTGTTTATCTGTGAATTTGTGATGATAAACAGGAATGTGGTTTTTTCAGCAGTTTTGCCAAAAAAAAAAAAATACTTCGATCTTTTCCATAGCAGGCCTTTGACAAAGGTCTAACTATGATAATTAAATAAGATGAGCCAAAAAAAAAATATTTCTTCCATTCTGTGACACCTCTATGAAGTATTGTTCGAGAATCTCTCGTTCGTAAGTACATCCAGAATGACTAGCAATTTGGTGCGACGACGTGGATGAACATTCGAGTCAGAGATGGCGACAAGCTCTACCCCAGACCCGTCATCTATCTTTTTGCATCTCTAGATTTGAATCAGCCATTCATGTAAGGGTGATTCTAGATTCTAATCGCCTCTGACGCTCTCCAGATTCTACTCAGACATTGTCTCAAAGCTCTTTCATACATGACCTCAATAGCGGGTTTTCCCGAGCAGTTCTCGTTGTCATTCATTATCAACAAAAGGCTGCCGAACACCAACACAGGAGGAAACTGATTACACTTCTCCTCGGTGGCCATCTGACCGTGCTTATATTAATCGACTGGTTCGACCGTCCGAAATAATTCGGCTCCAGAACCCGCCGAGATGCGTAGGCGCCATCCAGCGTCCGCAATTCAGATTGATGAGATGGAACTAGTAGGCGTTTTTGCATACCCAAATAATTTTAAGTTGTTGCTTGGAACTCCTAAAACCGCTTGCATGTCCTTTCTTGTTAGTGCCCAACGTATGTTTTTCGTTCATCCAGATGAAAAGGGTGACTGGGATTCAGGCGGACAAATAGATATCATCATGAAGCTTCATATGGAAATTACAATTCAAATGAAGGAGATTCTGGTTGCTGTCCAGGCAATCATGATGGCGGGTGATTAGTCGAGGAACAAAATGTTGCATGCTGGAGATATACCAAGCATCCACGAATCACTATTCGCTCAATTTTCTCGTCTCGAGCGAAGTTGCTCTCAGGAGAGTATACACACACACGTATTTACATCCGATTATTGCCTGGGAGTCTAGCCCGATAATGCTTGGCAATCAGCAACTTCCGCAACACATAGAAACAAGAGCCATGATTCCTATTGGATCTGTATATTAGATGCTCACACCACACAGCCACATAGAGAACCCCGTTGGAACCGGTACATGGCGTTTCTGTAAGAGGCAAATCAGGTTAAACAACATAGTGGGAGTCTTGCACGATGGCACGAAGAACCTGTTGGGCAATTGGCTAACATCTAGACGGTTTCCAGGCTGCCCGATCGATTGCCTGGGCCATACTAGCGGGTTAGAGAGCTGGACTGTGGTCCTTGTCCAGTCGAAGTTTCTTTGACTTATGACCCGAAGCTGAGAAACCCGACTTTGCAGAAATTTGCTTCCCTTGAGTTATGTTTCATTGGGACGAGGGTGAGGTCAAGTTGTGGAGAGAACGTGAGTGTAACGCAGTAGCAGGGCCATAACATGTCACGTCCCTAGGCATGCTTCGCCCGTTTTTTTACAGCTTCGCGTCCAACTCAATGAAACAATGGTGACTGCAAAGAATTCATCACTATACTCCCAGTGTCCCGAAAGCCCAGGCGAGAAGCAGCTCGAACTTGGCCCCGAAATTTACCGCCTGGACAACATCTCTTCTTCCTGGAGCGGATCCTTCATAGGTTCTGAGATCTCAGATATGACGGTCCCATGAACCCCTGTTCTGCGAGACGGAATCAACTTGGCTATTTTCCACTTCGCAAGGTGGCCGCATTTCAACCCATGTACGTGTACGAAAGTGGGATGGGCTTGGTCAGACCAACAGCCTCTCAAGACGTTTCCCATCCCTTGTTTTGGAGTCAAAGGGCCTTCCCTCTTAATAACCCTGAACATCAAGAGGATTTCATCAAGATCAAACATCGTCATTACTAGATTTCTTACGGATATCTCCATATATCGATGAGATAGTATCACGGGTTCGACTCCATAAGACGATCACTAGAGCGATGCAGTCCAAGAAATATTCAGCATGAAGTCCACTAAGACATCAATGAATTATCGCTTCTGGATTCACAGACCCCTCTCTTGTCAGTTCAGAAGTACCATGTCTTGCAGCTTATCGCAGCTCGCTCGATCCGACTGAAACATGCAGCACAAAGTCAAGGATACACAATGTCAATACTATAACCTTCTCTAGAGTCCTGCACGACGACCTCTTTGACCTAGAGCTTGATGACATTGCTAGTCCGTCACGAAGTTGACTAGGAAGACTTCAGTACAGCTCATGCTTCCTGCTGATGGAAGTATCGATTCTTGGCATGTTTTTACGAATCCGATCGGGCAAGAGGCCAGTCCCAGCATCTACTACGTCTGTGGAAATTGCGGAGACATCACACTAGACTAACAAGACTGATCTCGGACACGACAATTGAATCTCGTTATTCGACCTGTAATGCTGGTTCAAGGCTGATATGGTGTCGTAGACAATGATATCGGGATACGAGTGCCTGGCTACGGCTCGGGCAAGCTTCTCGTAGATCGCATCGAATCGGATCATATCTATTTACGACCTGAAAACGCGCAAAAGGCTCACAGGCAAGACACAAGTCAATTCCGATTTCATCGTACACATAGTTTCTACTATTCCGCCAAAGCCAAGTCGGATAACGAGAATATCTTAGCTACTGGCTCCTCGGCGTGGTTGCTCTCGGGCCAGATTGGCAATCCAGGCCATGCCATGGAAAAAAGTACTCTGAGCTAGCCGACCCCTTTGTTGCTCACCAAGCCCATGTTTGCAGCCGCAGCTCTCGGGAGCTGGTTGCTGTCTTAGATGGTGGCGCCAGAGTCTACCGGTGTCGCAGATCCCCAGACCGTCACCGGCTTCGCGCCAGCTCAGTGTCTGACCTATTCCCGAGCCAAGCATGCCGAGCAACGACACTGGATTATCCGCGTTCATGCACCGCCCGAAGCCATTTGCATCCAGCCAGGTGCATCGCGCTGGGCGTAGTCGGGATGGCCGACTTTCCCGAACCAACACCCACGGTGCGTTCCAGCACTGTCAGAGTGGTTTTCCCGAACGTTGGACTTTAGCCAGAATGCAGCAAACGCGAGAGTCAAGGCAAGCCTGCGGAGGTACACAAGCCTCCAAGCCTTCAATTGAGCTTGCAAAATTGGGCAAACGTTTTGGCAGGCAGGATCGCTTCTAGGGTAACCCTAAGAGCCCCAAGGAATTCTCTTAACACCCCCGAATCGATAGCAGTCGAGCTGTGAAAACGATTCGATATTGCAGCAAAGGTAGAACTCCACTGGTATGACGACAATGCGGAAATTCGACACTGGCCGTCTGATTCGTAGAAACCCGGGCTGACTCGTAGCATTTGGGAGAAACAGGCTTTGCGGGCCGAAAGGATGTTATCTCGCAGATGGACCTTGCAGATCCGTGTTTGACAGAGAGACCTACGTGGATCTTATCAAGTCTTCGTTCGCCTCTTCTTCACTTTCAAAAGAGCCTCGACTTCTTTCGCACCCCTTTCCCGCAGTGACAACTCTTTCATCATATCGACCCACTGAATGTGGCCCCCACATTGTGGGCAACGGCCCTGAATAGGAACGACCACTTCTCGATCCTCTTCGTGGTGGAGCATATGACGACTCCAGCATGAAAGATGCCCAACAGCCTCACAGGACTCGTTTGGACACACGGCGTGTAATCCCTGACCGTGAGGTAGTGCCTCTTTGCAGACTACACAGCTGCCCTCTCTTTCAAAGGCGATGATGGACTGTGCTTTTTCAACGTATGGCTTCATGTGCGTGTAGTCCACAGGCAGGGCATGGATGCCCCAAGCGACGTCGTCTGAAGATGCGGCGGGGTCAGGGCCGAAGTCGGTGACTATGTTGAGGGTGTTTCGCAGAGGCTCGGTTGAGTTGGCAGAAGAGGAAACCCATGCTTTGTGTACATCCTTTGCAAAGAAGTGTAGTGTAAGCGGCCACCGACGAAAGCTTGGTACTCCTAGGAGGAGTTGTAGATTGGACAATATCGAGGATAGGCTCGCACGAGGCCGGCGGGGACGTCCATTCTTCTTGACTCCGTTCGAGACGGTGATGCGAGACGTGGATGGTATATGCAGAGAAAGATGCGGGTTCGTCAACGCCCATCTGTTGTTCTTTGTCAGCGCATAGTTGGGAAGTTGATGTTGATACAAAAATGTGATATCAAGTCAAATCAATATGGTGCAATATGCAAGATCTAGACAGGCATGAGAACCTAAGCATGTGCAAGCTAGGGGGGTGAAGGGGGAAGAGGAGGAGGAGCGGGGAAACATCGTCCGAAGCAGAGTAGCTCAAGAGCATGCCTTGCTTTTGGAAGCATGATAAGAGGGAAACAGCCTCAAGGTCAAGGTGAATCGTGAACGGGACGGAGATCATACTCAAACTTTAGAGCAGCAACCATGCCCGGGAAGCCGGATACCAGCCCCACCATCTCCCAGGGCCGCAGGCTCAGACGGGAAGTGCGAGCAGCGCCGCCGCGGGCCTCGCCATTGTGCTGCTTCAGACGGCGCGGGGGGTTGGGCGTCGAGCCGATGTAGAGAGACGCGTGGCGTACGGTGGAACGGAGGATGTACACCGTGTAGAGGGCGGGGATGGGCTTGGACTGGACGGGCATGACTCGGCAGGGGAGGGTAGACGAAGTCAGGACATGTTGTTGTGCGACGTGTTTTGGGATGGAGGGACGAGAGAGCGGTTCAGACTCAAGACTCAGTGGTTGTGCTGGCCGCCGGGGCAGTCTAGACTCGTCTTTTGCTTATGGGCTCATACGTGGACTCGGGTTTGAGCGTGTGTCGGGGCGGTCGGGGTTGGGTCAGTGACTGAGTTTATCCAGATGGATGCAGGACCACAGGGCGAACACTGGAGGGAGAGGAGATAGTATGGGTGACAGGCTAGGCCAGACCAGGCTTGGGAGTTGCTTGAACACCTGTGCTATTGTTGGTGAACTTGGTATCAGTTGTGCTGGTTCGGGGTGCTGCTGGCAATGCGCGCGGGGCGATGGTACTGGACGACGCCGCGGTGAGAGAGAGCGGTGTGCGAGGCGAGGCGAGTTGCGTTCCAGGTCTGGATTCGGATCCTAGGTTGGTTGGATTCTTGGAGACTAACCGTGGAGAGCGATGTCGGCCGAGGGGTCGGAGACTCGGGTAACTGCACGGTGTTGATTGAAAGCGTGGGAGAGGGCGTGGGAGCGTGGGATGGTCGCGGAGTTTGAGTAGGTAAAGTGAATCCCAAGTTTGGGGGGAGACGGAATTTTTTTGGCGTCAGGGTGACATTCGGCCAGGGACCGACAAATTGGATCTGGTCAGGTGAGAGCACCAGGTCTGGGGGGGTTAAGAATGCAACGCAGGTCACGGTGAGACGGATTGACGTGGGTGGTGGGAGTGCAGCAGTAGTAGCAGTAGCAGCAGCAGCAGCAAGCCACAGGTTACTGCAGGTTAGAAGCAGTGAAGCACCGTAGCACGAGGGTGCAAGGAAGTTGGAACAGAATGGAAAGGGAGTGAGAAATGAAGGTGAGTCAAACATGAAAAGAGAACCGAGATGGCCACCGGGGGGGGGCGGGATGTTGTCACGACTCACGGAGGAAACAAGCAATTTACAAGGGAAAATGTCAAAAAAAAAATTTGGGGGGCCTACCTAGAACATTAATTTGGGATCCAATATTGATTCACTTTGGAAATCTGGATCAAATCTGTGTCCAAATTGGATGGCTGACTGGGCTGCATTGAAAATAGAAATGTTCGGTCGGGAGTTGAGGGGACGCTAGTCCTGTTTGGGACACGGGGAAGGCTATGGCTGCTTACCTGTTCTCACCTTGGGGCCTCACCTCACCTGTCTTCACCTTGTTTTTTTCTTCTTTTTTCCCTCTCGGTCGTATTTTTCTTGTCGGGGGATGCCAGGAAAGGCTTGGGAAGGCGTGGAGGGCCAGCCGATGACGGGAGCAGGGGGTAAGACACCGGGGAAGCTGACCCCAAGTCTTCCGCCTCGTCGTTCCTTCCGGTTGGCGGTTGGCGGTTGCACTTGCACCTGCACTTGCCTGCACCTGTACCTCGCACCTGTACCTCGCACCTGCACTTTTTGCTCCTGCCTCCTGCCTCAGTGCCTGCCGTTCGTGCTGTTCCTGACCATGTCTCCTGCCCTCCTACTGCTTCCAAAGGGAGGTACCTCCTGCCTCGTACCGTTCGTGCCTTCCCTCCCCCTCCAGCTGAAGCATCGTCGCCCGGCTTCGTCCCTCGTCTTCCCCGGCTACCGGACCCCCCACCCCCCAAAGGCCCCAACATTCCCCCATGTTTTTCAATTTTAGATTCCCACGTCGCAACATTTCGTCCCGTGATGTGCAAAAAATGCCACCCTCGTCAGCTGTGTAGCTCGGGGGGTGAAGCTCTCCACGATGTACTTCGTACTCCGTACTCCGTACCTTACGGATAGCTTCCCCAGCTTCCCGTCAGCTTGGGGCCACGACACGACACTCCGACATCAGCGCCGACACCGACCATGGAACTCAACCAACGCTGCACTCCGCAACCGCAATCGTGGACCTCCAAGCTTCCAAGCTTCCGTCTAATTAACTACCTGCATGCACTCAGAACTCTTCCAAGCGGATGCGTGCCTGACGATGCCGGTTTCAACACGAGCAAACCCCCCTCTATACCGCTATTTACTTATTATTACTCACAGAACCACCAACCTTCCGCCTGAGCACGCCTGGCTACCAAGTGTCACTTGAGAGACCAAATGCTTCACTCAGATTGCCAAGGTGTACGAATGCAATGGGAATCGAGACGAATCGAGGGCACGGGTCCCCACTGATGCTGACAAGAGCATACCTAGATCATCTGCCATTACCTTACGAAGAGTAACGCATTCTACGCTGATTATCGAGCAACACACGTACACTGCGGATTTCAGGTATTCACGTATTCATCAGCACCTCGATGGCTGTGCCAATTAGTACCAAGCAAAGCACTCGGTCATACCAAGAGTTGCGTCAGTGCAGTGACACAGCCTGTGCGACAGAAGAGAAATTGAGCAATTGATTGACCGACCTGCGACTGTCGGCTGCAGTTGTGCAGCTCCAGAGGTCAAGGAGCAACGCACCCCAGATGCCCGAGCAAAGATTCCCCCTCTTCAGAAGAACCAAAAAGACCCGGAAAATGATGTGACCGGACGCACCGATGGAGGCTTCTAGAGACACGGACTGGAGCACTGGAGCTGCCACTAGAGCCGTACGGAGACAAACTACATACGGAGTATCCTGTTCAGTCGTTCCCAGCGCACATCAGTTCGCCTCCTGCCCTGCGTCTGGAGACACAATCGCCGCTCAATTCGCATCCGCCGTCACAAACCCACAGAATGCCCGTCAATTGGCGTCTTCCATTGGCACACAATGCCCGTGGCACGCGTGGATTGACGCTGGTCCCTTTGCTCTCGCTGATCCGATGAGGTCTGCCACGTTCGCCTGTTTCCGACTCGGGAGCGAGCAGCAGTAATACACAAGTCACACAATACTGTATGTATGCTGGATCACCAATGGCATTCCTCTCACCCCACGTTTTTGACTGTGCCCTCGAGAGTCTTGACCGAGTTTCCGAGACACGACAAAGCTTCCCCCCTTGTGCTGCTGCGAGCGAGCAGGCCTTCTGTATGAGGAATGCATGCGCGAGTGTAAATTGCAGACCACAGCTGCAGCCAAGCCAGCAGGCTCACTGCTGCGAAGCTATGCGAGCCGAACAAACAGCCACCAAACACACTTGTCAGCTTGTTTCCCTGGCAAAAGCCCATCGACTGTATGGCCAGAAAGCCAACAGCTTCCTCAACTGACTGGCGTAACGCTTGCGGCTTTACGGCTTTGGACCTGCCGACCACGGCGTTGGAGGCGTTAGGGATGGCTTGGGTAGTCGAATACGGGTTACGGCGTGCGGCGTGCGGCTTGCTACCCACACCTCATCTCTAACTTTGGAAGTTAATCAGTCAACAACCCACTGACACTTCAGATCAGTGCCCACCTATTCGCACCGTAAGGCAGTCAGCCTGCAGTTGGTGTGCAGCACCGCAGCACACCACTATGGCAGTTGATAGCCGAACCCGATTGATTCAGAGACGACGCGGCAGCAAAGGAAGCACCAGACAAGCACACCATCCTTGGACCGGGCAATTATCTGCAGTTGCGTGACAATAGAGGCCGGATGCTCTCAAAGCTCCGTGTGCGCCGAAGACGTCTGGTCATGCCGGAATACCACCAGGCCACCTGGGCAGGCAACGGATGTAGATACAAGTATCCGGCCCTTCGGTGGCAGCGGCATGCCAGCCAACCAGTTCACCACCTGGGCACACCGATGGTCACTGAGGGTGTCCTCGTGGATTGCAAAGAAAGCCAGCAGGGGCCACTCAGCACTCGCGACCTAGAGGGGTGTGGGCGCGTACCTGGGCCGGAGGAGGGGACCCCTATAATGGGATTTGGGAGCGCCGCCAAATACGGTCCATCCTTGCCGATCCCTAGGCCAAGGGTTCCAAGGTCAATCATGGAGCAGACTGGGTCTCGCTGGAGAAGGACTGTCACCGTCGCTGTTCGAGACGCCAAAATTCCCTGTCCTGGACCTGCTGCCAGCAGACGCACGCAGATGACCTTCCCTCCTGGGTTACCCTCAGTCTCTGTTGGTCTCTGTCGATTGCTGGGCACACAGAACAGCTTGGGACTAGGTATGGTTCTGTCTATCTACTACGGTGGAAGCTGTCAACGCGTCGCGAGGGACCGACTTTGCACGAGGAGTGATCTAGACCGCAGTCTATCTACTGTCCACGGCCGCTGCACGTTCTATGGCGATAGACCGACAGACCGATAGGTCGCCCTCCACCAACATTCAGCATACAGTCCGGCCCCCCCTCAGCCATGCACGTTTAACCAAGGAGAGGAGACGACCCGTGGGGGTGGATGAAGCAGGGCGGCAGGCGGATAAGGTGAGTGTGCCGTCGCACTAAGAAAAATCTTTTTTTCCTTCCATAATGGCGGGTGGAGGTGCCGTGATTATTCTGGACCCGTGTGACTGTCCCCCTTGGCTCACTGAAAGTTGAAACTAGGAAGAGTTGGAGCGAACTCATTTGCCTCACCGCCGCCGCGCTCGACCCGTGGCACGCATAGCTAGCTTTGTTACCGAAGAATAGTGAGTGTAGAAGTAAGGTGAGAGCGTGGTAAGATGGTGGCAGCTGCTAAAGTCCTATTTCCAGCCCTCGGTGCCCTCGATGCCCAGCCGGTACCTTCGCCAGTCGGTCTGTCTGTGTGCGATCTGAGCGAGAGGAGTTAAGAGTCTTGACTTTTGAGAGACGTATCTTTCCTATTTCCTGCGAGACTGCCCCTCGTCTCGTCTTGTCAAACACCATCTGAGAGAATCTCTACTTAAAATACCGTGTTCGAATAGTGTACACGAATATCAGTACGTACCTCGGCACCCCTGCTGCTCGCTGCCAAGTCCGGCTCGCACATCCCGCTGCAATCAGAAGTCTGGACTCTTTTCGTCTTTGCTTCCCTTCCACTCACTGGGACGGTCTGGGAGAAAGCCGCTGAAGGGACTTGGGTGATCCGTGTGCCACACACACACACACACACACACACACCGAGAGAGACGAGAGAGAACGATAGAGGAACAGTGTGACAGTGACAGGCACACAGGTTGCCAGTGAATGAAAGAGTCGGAGATACAAGTGCCAATTACTGCCTTACTGTGTAAGTAGGTATGCAGAGTGGAAGTGGAGGGGTCCCGGTCTTCTCGCATATACACGCCCCCACCACTTCCGTCACACACCACCCACTTCTCCCACGCCACGCCACGCCCCCTGCCCTGCGGTCTGCGGCTTGCCCTTGAGGTGGTTGTCTTGGCTTTTTATTCCAAGGTACCGCCTGAAAGTACCCGACCGCCCGTTAAAGAAGCGTTGCTCCTCCGACTCAACTTGCTTCGACTCTGTCACTCTCACTCCGACAACCAACTCAACCCACTTCGACATCGATTCGAGACCATCGATTACGCCCATCTTGGACATTTCAACCGGCTTTTGTCTAGACAAGAATTCCACCCTGATGACTGGAATCTCGTGCTAGACGCTTTCTCCACAACCTTCGATCGGGCATATATCACCTAATGACCATTATCGACCTGGTTCTTCTTCGACAGCCTCTGCAAGCTGTCACATAAAGAAGTGAACTTCGACGACGCAAACCCGCCGAAGCCTATCTTATCGCAGCAATTTTTGGACAGAGATTCATTCTCTCAACCTCCAAACACACACACACACACACACACACCAACAAAATGATCCCCAGAGGTCTCACTTCCGCCTTCGGGACCCCGTCCCTCGAGATCGGCCAGATCCTGCTCGGCAATGCCAGCCGATACACCATTCAGAAGAAGATCCGTGAGGGCGTTTGGATTGCAACGTAAGCTTTACCACAAGAAAGTGTCGTTTAAAATGAATAAAAATACTTACAACACCTACAGTAACCCCATGGGCAACAAGTCCATCGTCAAGGGTGTCCAGGGTATCTCCGGAGCTCAGAACGAGCACAACGTCCTCCGCAAGTTCCAGGGCAACCCTTTCCTCCGCCCTGTTATCGACGAGATCCAGCAAGATGCGCCGATGATTGTGCTCCAGCACATGGACGATCATCTCTTGAACGCTACTATCAAGAAGCCCTTGACCAACCGCGAGATTCGCTTCGTTGCCCGCGCTGTTCTTCGCGGCCTCTCCACACTCCACAAGGATGGCTACGTTCACACCGATATCAAGCCGGACAACATCCTCGTCAACTACGCTTCGGCTTCTGAAGCTGACCCCGATCTTCGCTTTTCCGACGTTCAGATCGGTGACCTCGGGGCTTCCTACTCCGTTGACTCTGACGTCGCTACCAAGGGTTTCCTTATCGGCGCTCCCATTTGGACCAGCCCTGAAGTGCTCATGGAGGTTCCCTGGGGAACCGCCAGCGATATCTGGGCCTTCGGCTCCATGATGATTGCCCTTCTCCATGGCGGCGACTACAACCCCTTCCGCCCTACCAACGCTCGCTACCACGACCGCAGCTACATCTTTGAGGTCCTCCGCCAGCAGTCTCGACGCTTCGGTGCCATCCCCGAGACCTACCTTGAGCGGGCGCGTCCCGGCAAGGCCATGGCCGCCAAGGCATTGACTGTCGGCCGCAAGGTTGAGCCTCTCGACTTCCGCACCGCTTCTCACTTCATCAACCGCATTATGCGCATGGACGCTGCCGAGCGCCCTACCGCCGACCAGCTTCTCGAGGAGATGTCTGGTCTCTTTGAGGACTAGATCTCAAGACCCTCGACGGTCATTTACGATTATTGGAGACGAATGAAAGACATTCCCACAAGGGATAAACAGCGATTTTGTTTTTTTGTGTACCGGTAAACGGACACCAGCATTATTATACACATCAGGGGAAGAATTCCAGGACAGAACTTAATGAGGATGAAAAGCGGCGGAAGCCATTGTGCTTCGTTTTCTTCGTGTATTTGGGACACCTGGATACTACAGGCGGATTGTTTTTGTCATTTTCAGAGCGACATTTGGGTATCGCCTGAACGGATTACTCGGGGATTTGGGTCACACGGTCAACATGGGAAAAAGATCGCAAAGGGAAGACAAAAAAGTTACACACGGCAACTAGGGGAAAGCGAATGTTTTTGGAGCGATCAAAAGAAATCACCCCGGCGGTACTGTACAAAGAGATAGATGCCTTAGAATGGGCCATATTACATAGACAACCAACCCATACACACAGTGGCCTCCACGGATGGCTCACTTTGAAACCACACACATATATTCCGCTTTCATCAGTGATTCTCTGGTGACTAATTCTGTATCACGTCTGTCCAAGTTTAGCTCAGCTTTCAATTTTTGCTCAGTCGAAAAGTCCGTGATGAAGGTTTGCAGGAGAACTCTCCATATACTGCGAGCGTTTCATTACCCATAGCTTTTCCCCGTGAGATCTCAACGACGATGTTGAGCAAACCATGAGAAGCAACTTCTGCAAGTTCCAAATCGATGAATAAAAGCGATGTTCCAATATAGACGATGTTGGGACATATGTCTACGGTTGTTCCTTACATGTCTCCAGGAGGGTTGCCAAACAAAGGCTCACGCCGTCGTCGAGAATCGTACGTAGCTCATGAGGGTCGTCCTCAAAGATATTCATTTCTATGGTTGACATCGCCGCAATATGATTGTCGCTCATCCAAGTAAACCGCGATGCAAGTCCTTTTGATTTCTACATTTTACAATCTCCGTGGCGCGTCCTCGACTCAACGCGTCTCCCTGTCCTTTGGAATACTTGTACACCACGCCGTACCTAGGCCCCCTTACCCCTTTTGCTTCGTTCTCCAATGTAGTGCCACGTCTTTTACAAAAGGCCCTGCTTCTGCAAATCATAGTACACCTTCTCAGGCATGACATTACCCTCGGCGTCCTCCATCTGCACCACGCTCCCCTCGTCAACCTTGGTCTTCTTGGCCTCCCGCTGGATCTTGTCCCACAGGTTCACCGCCTCCTCGATGCTCGTAATGTCACGGAAGAGACTGGTATTCGTAATACCGAGACACCGCAAGCCGTGAACGTGCCGCGCCTCGTTGAAGTGCTTGTCAAACGCCCGCCGACCCATGTAAACAAAGTTGCCGCAAATCTCGCACGGGAACTCCACGCCCAGCCCGTGCAGGCGGTACAGCCAGAACGGGATCGGCTTGCCGTCCCACGCGAGCGGTAGCTTGAGCGGGTTGTAAATCTTCTCCTCACCGTCCTCGCCGTCCTCGTCGTCATCCTCGCCGTCCGCGCCGCCGTTGTGGTGCGCCACGCCGCTGCCTGGCGCAGAGTACGACAGATTCATTATGTTTTCCAGCTCCTGCTGGCGCTCGCGCTCCGTCATGCCCTGTCTGCGCTCGACGTTTACGCGCGTGTCGCCGCGCTCCGTGCTCATTGCTGCCGCGAGGCGTTTGACGCGGTATTCGCGCTCCGCGATGGCTCGTTCCTTCAGCCTCGTTGCTGATACCTTGTTTGTGTTGCCGATGGTTTCTTCCTCCCCCTCTTCCTCGCGGCGCGCTTTCCTCGCTTCGGCGGCCTTGATGTGCTTCCTGCCCGTCATGTGTGATTTGTAGACGTTTTCGTTCTTGAACTCCTTTTCGCAGTCGTCGCACCAGATGGCGTCTGCCGAGCTGGTCTCTCGTGCATTACCATTCGCGCCGCTGCCGCCGCCGCCGCTCGTCTCCTTTTGCCAACCCGAGACCTCGTCCTTTTCCCACGCCGCTTCAAAGTCGCCATCGAATCCCAGAAACACCTTGTCGAGGTTCTCGAGCGGCCGCGTGCGCCGCATAAAGGACTCGAGGTACGACGCCAGCTCGCCGACGTATTTGAAGTACTGATCCGTCAGCTTGTCGCCGCGCTTCAGACCGCCGTAACCGGGTGCGAAGTTGTCAAACACCTCGAGGTACTGTAGGTACGACAGGCGCTTCACGTTGGGCAAGTTGAGATAAGCCTCGTGGGAGGTGTGCAGGTCAAAGAAGCGGCCGAAGCCCTCCTCACCGGTAAACAGGCGATCGACAATGTAGGGCATAACATCTCCATCGTCGAGCTTCTTGACGCGGTACCGCACCTCCGAGTTCTCGGCCTGTTCATTTGGGTATTTGGCGTGGTGCTCGCGCGCCGTCTTGAGCTGGCTGTAGAACTCCTCAAAGGGGTCCCCGGTACCGATGGTCTGGATCTCGCGGCTGCGCGAGCCGTCGGCGTCGCGGTAGATGTCGAGGAGCTTGACGGACTGGGATTGGATCTGATCGAGGAGCTGACCGATCTCGTGGTCACGGTTCAGGCGGTCGCGGATGTGTTTTGGTTCTTCGCTGATGCGGTCTGCGATGCCCTGCTCGAGGCGCTCGAGGTCCTCGTGGAGGTAGCGCTGCTCTTCGATTACGCCCATTGCGTCGTCGTTCGCCGCCGTCGCGCGCGATGGTTATCTGGGGGGAGGAAGAGGGCTGAGCTGGCACGGGTTGTTGCCGGATTTCGGGGATCTGGGTAGAGGCTGGGGGGACGAGGCTCTAGAAAAATCGAGATCGCAGCCTTTCTGGATGCACGTTTGCTGGTGAGCGGTCCACCGAATAAGGTCGCGCGTTAGCTTTGGGTTTTTTTTGCGATGGCAAGCTGCTCAGGGCACTGTGGAAACGAGTGATACCCTGTGGGAAAGCCAAAAGGATTCCCACGGTGTCGGCCTTCCAGATTTTCCGTTCCGGGCTTTGCAGTGGACGGAAGACAGACTTTCAGCGCTAGGTATAGCGAGTGGCCACTGACATGCCGTCGCGCTGTAGAAGCTTCAGCGCGCCCCTCTAAAATTTCCATCGGTCTGCTTGCATCGTCCGCCTACAAACCATCCACCAACACACGCATCTTCGTGGCACATCGTCTAAACAGCACCATCACTCGCCAGACCACCCGGTAAAATCAGCATCATGGCGGAAGGAAGCGGAATCGATCGCAAGGCGGAGGAAAGGATGGAGTTTTCGACCTCTAAGGAAGTGACGGTCCACCCGACCTTTGAGTCCATGTCTCTCAAGGGTAAGGCTGTCCACCACTATCACTGTACAAAATGCCATTGAACCAGCGCATACTGACATTTAGTTCCCAGAGAACCTCCTCCGCGGAATCTATGCCTATGGCTACGAGTCCCCCTCGGCCGTGCAGTCCCGCGCCATCGTCCAGGTCTGCAAGGGTCGCGACACCATCGCCCAGGCCCAGTCCGGTACGGGTAAGACGGCCACCTTCTCGATCAGCATGCTCCAGGTTATCGACACGGCGGTGCGCGAGACCCAGGCCCTCGTCCTTTCCCCGACCCGCGAACTCGCGACTCAGATTCAGTCCGTCGTCATGGCCCTTGGCGACTACATGAACGTCCAGTGCCATGCCTGCATCGGCGGCACCAACGTGGGCGAGGATATTCGCAAGCTTGACTACGGCCAGCACATCGTCTCCGGCACCCCTGGCCGTGTTGCCGATATGATCCGTCGCCGTCACCTCCGTACACGCCACATCAAGATGCTCGTTCTCGACGAGGCCGACGAGCTCCTCAACCGCGGATTCCGCGAGCAGATCTACGACGTCTACCGATACCTACCCCCGGCGACTCAGGTCGTCGTCGTCAGCGCTACCCTTCCGTACGATGTCCTCGACATGACGACCAAGTTCATGACCGATCCCGTTCGTATCCTCGTCAAGCGTGACGAGTTGACCCTCGAAGGATTGAAGCAGTACTTCATCGCCGTCGAAAAGGAGGACTGGAAGTTTGATACCCTTTGCGATCTTTACGACACCCTGACCATCACCCAGGCCGTTATTTTCTGCAACACCCGCAGAAAGGTCGACTGGTTGACGGACAAGATGCGCGAGGCCAACTTCACCGTCAGCAGTATGCACGGTGACATGCCGCAAAAGGAGCGCGACAGCATTATGCAGGACTTCCGACAGGGCAACAGCCGTGTGCTCATCTCGACTGATGTATGGGCGCGTGGTATCGACGTCCAGCAGGTCAGTTTGGTCATCAACTACGATTTGCCGAGCAACCGTGAGAACTACATCCACCGTATTGGTCGCAGTGGTCGCTTTGGACGCAAGGGTGTTGCCATCAACTTCGTTACCAGCGAAGATGTGCGCATTTTGCGGGACATTGAGTGTAAGTATTTGTCTATGAGATGTTGAGTGGTGAGATGCTGATTAAGATTATAGTGTACTACTCCACCCAGATCGACGAGATGCCCATGAACGTGGCCGATCTCATCTCTTAAGCAAATGGGTAATAGGAAATCAACAATGCTCAAATACTGTGCCGGCAGACGGCAAGGATGATCACAAAAGGCAGACGAGGAGGTCGTCATGCCAATGAGACAGCGGAGGAAGGGGGCTTGATTTTGAAGCAGGTGAGCAAGATACAGTTCGTCCTTTGGAGTCTATTCATGATTTGCTTACACATTCCTAAAAAGTGAAAAATCTAGATTGTCAATGAGAGGATCGCGGGCGAATGCAGGCGTCACAAAACAAGAAAGTGGACTGATGGCTTTGGGAAAATGTCATTATTCGTAGTACTATGAACAGCCGCGCGCTCTGCGCCGAATGGGTATACAACACATGATACCCTCCCACGCATTGTTTTGGTTTGCCGTTCCAACGCCATTTGAAATATGTGAAGCTGGTACTGCAGAAGAGCTCAGTGGCTCTCTGTTGCTTGATCGGCTGTGGTTGTGCTGTTCCGCACTTGTACGCGACTGGCGAATCTTAAAAGTGTTCGCTGCTAAAATACCCTCCCCGTCACTCCCCATGAACGCCTTGCCGTTTCCTGTTATACATGTAATTCATTAAATCCGATTCTCAGGCATAGGAGCAGAGCTGAAGCGCATGGACCGTACGGTCTGAGCGTACCGCAGCATCGACCCACGGGTCTTTGCGCCCTGCGGCGGCTGAAGCCTCGACTTCCTCACGAGCGTGGACGGCCACCGCAACGGCGCGCCGGCATCGACTTCCGCCAACCGGAACTCGTCACGGCTGCCTCGGCTGCCGCCCCGAACGCTGCTCCGCGGCGGCGGCTTCATCGCCTTCAACACGTTGACGTGCTCCTCGTGCTCCACCGCCTCTTCATAGGGGGAGAACTTGAGGTCGTCCAGGCTGGCAAAGGTATCCCTCTGCACGCGCGGACGGTTCGACTTGGTGCCGATGGTCAGGGGACGCTGGTAGTGCATCTCCGGGTCGCCGTGGGAGAAGTTCTTTTCCCATTCTTCGCGGCGGGCGGCGTCTGCTGCGGCGGCGGCGTAGGAGCTGTAGGAGCTGTACATAAGACCGCCGCCGGCGGTGTTACCGCCGGTCGCAGAGGCCATGAAGCGGGGGAAGAGGCGGCATAGTAGGGGTTTGAGGGTGGTGAGGCAGGCCGTCACGATGGCGGCGTGGACCTCGACGCAGGTTAGGTTTGCGATACGGACGGCGGACCAGGTTACATCCATCACTTGGAGGGGGGTCTCGTCTGTGTGGAAGAGGCGTACGAGGCGGACTATGGAGATTGCGCAGACAAGAAAGGCAAGGCAGAAGATGATGTACAACCCTGTCTTCTGCCGGCGGGGGAGACGCATGGTGTGGATGACGGGCAGAGGCAGGAGGAAGATGAGAAAATCGGTGGCGAGGTGGAGGCATGCGTTGCCCCAGAAGACGGAGATGGGGTGGCAGTAGACGGGCGGGTTGAGGGGGTCGTAGTCCCAGGTGGAGTGGAGGGGCACGCAGGTGGTGAGGATGCTGGCGATAATCCAGGCGTGGGAGAGGACGACGACGCCCAGGAGGATCTTGCCGAGGAGACGGATGGAGTCGTAGGTGAGGATGCGAATGTAGAGGAGTAGGATGGAGATCTTGGTCAGGGTGAGGCTGACGGAGTAGAAGAGGTTTGTAAAGATACCTGCCTCGATGTAGGCGGCGAAGGAGGGGTAGGAGTAGTACAGGTGTGAGCCGAGGCCAAAGTTGAGTTCTGTTGGTGTTAGTTCTAGTTCCAGTTCTCCTACTGACAGCAGGTTCTACTTACGAGTGATCATGCCTCCGCTGGTGGCGATGGCAAAGATGAGAGAGGCGAGGATGGTCCAGTCTTCCCACTTGACGGAGCGCAGGATCCTGGCGCGGGTGTAGAAGCGCATAGCAACAAAAGCGGTGGCCATGACGGCCGAGAGGACGGCGACGGGCACGACGGAGGCGCCATTCCACTCGTTTGGGTCGGGTCTCGGGAGGACGAGCCAGGGCGGGATCGTGGTGTTTGCTGCTACGGTTGTCGTCGCTGCTGCTGCTGAGGCAGAGGCAGAGCTGGGGACATAAGGGACGATGGAGCGGTGGGCCAGGAAGGGGAGGTCGCCGTAGGCCCGGGGCGGCATGTTTGCGTTTGAGGGCGGTTTGCCGTCTGGGCTGGATTTGATGCAAGATTTGTTTGGTTATGAGCACATTGTTGATCGAGTTGGTGAAGAGTGGTCCTAGGCGGCGTTTGATGAGTTATTCGTATGGTTTGAGAGAGTGAGAGTGAGAGTGAGAGAGACGTCGATGTTTCGAGGTGAGATGTTGAATTATTGCTGTGATATCGATTCGTACGCCACCGGTGGCTCGCACTTGGAGATAACCCGTCGACCAACGCGAGATCTAGCTCGTCATTGCTGATGTCGATATCAAGAAGAGTTGCTGAGATTCACAAGACGACAAAAGAAACGATCGAAATGTCTCAAGGGGGGAGACGAAATGGCGGGTCACTCGACCTTATACCAGCAGGGCCATCCAACCACCAACACCAAACAACCCCTGTTGATCTCGACCAGGCCCATGAAGGAGACGAGGCAGACTGAGAGTGAAGGGGGCCGGGGAGAGAGAGACAGAGAGACAGAGAGGCAGAGTGGGAGACAAGAAGTGGCCGCGATGTGGCCGCGCACCGGGCCAGGGGTTGATGAACCAGGGGTGAAGGAGTGGATTAGATTCTGTGACGGGCGACAGACGCAAGAACCCATGTCCTTTCTTTCTCTCTCACTGTGAGAGCTCTCCCCGTTGGTGGCCGCATTCTGGTCTCTGCGGCCTTGGGAAGCCGCCGGCAGCCCCAGATTTTCGGGAGAGTGTCCCGCTGGACGAGGGTGGATGCGATGAGGGAACAGAGCATTGGTTGGGTTTGGATAGCCGGCCCATGAACCAATATGGCCGCGGCTGAAGTGGTTGCAAGCGGTGGAGAGACGGCACCAGCTTGCCAGGGTACGGAGATTTTGTGCGTGATGACTGGTCACTGGCCACTTCTCCCAAGGATGTTTGGCAGGGGTTTGTGATGATGGGTGCCGGTTTGGTTACATGTTTGTGGTCGTGGTGTCATGTCCGGGCCGTGATGAGGGCAGCAGATCTCTCAGTCTGGACTGGTCTGTATTGATGCGTGCGATTGGTGCGTTGAGTGAAGTGGTGACTGATGAGGAGGCCTGGAGGATGTTCTCGCCCTTCCCATATTGGAGGACTGGTTATGAGCATCGCCGACACTCGTTAGGCGGGTATATGTGCCGAGGTAATCGTACGGATAGGTACACCAGTTTTCCTCTCAATGTATCCCCATTTACGGACAAGCTCAAGTAACGCCGATGAATCATGAAGGGCTATGTTCGTAGACCGGACAGATTAGACATTCTCACCGACGGGCCATGAAGTTGGGACGCGTCAGACGGGCGGCAACGACAACAACTTTGTTGTCGTTTACGGCGAGGGCCATCCTAGAAGAGACAACGAAGATAGTTTCCCAGGCATTTGGGTCGAAGCCAAGGCCAGATCAGCAGAGTTACGGTATTCGTACCGGACAGTAGGTGTAAAGACTGTAAAGAAAAGCTACGGAGGACAGGTGTGAGACCACTCGGCCGGCCAGGAACGGCCTCTCTGTAGGAGACTGTGCCTCTCGGACCATTTTTTGAGATGGGCCTAGGGGTGACAAAGGCCTTGCGTGGTGAGAGCGTTTCAGCTCCGGCTTGCGATCCACAGGGTCCGACATGGGGTTGGCATCGGAGGGGAGGGTATATAGAGTCGTCGGTTCAGTTGTTATTGTGTGCCTGTCTAGGACTCTACTGGTACGCTCGGTTCGTCAGGCAGGCCTTAAATACATTAGACTTTGGGTCGCAGTGAGACGGGCACAGGTCAAGCAAGAGGACGTGAATGGCGTGAGCCGATGGGAGTGTTCGTGCCAATATCGGGTGAAGGGACGGATAATACAGTGAATGGTGGAATGGTGGAGGCGGAAGAGTGAGTGAGTGAGTGAGTGGGTTGCAGGTCAGATGAGCGAGCGAGTGAGTGACAAGTACATGAGTGAGGGGGACCCGAAGAGTGAGTTGAGTTCGAGGTGAAGGTGAGGGAGGGCCTTGCCATCCACAGGTGAGACACTGCCGAATTTACCTAAAGAGAAGACAAGCGACAGGCGAGACACTGTGCGTCCAGGGATCTTCCCCCCTTCTTTGGGCTGTCTCGGGGCGCATCTGGCTGCGATGCCCCTGAAGCTAAGCGACTGACGCGGACGAGGCTCCGGGCGGGGTGCTCACTCACACTGCCTTGGACTGCGCTGCACCTGTCTGCAATGTACCTATTCAGGTAGTGTACCTTTTCAGGTATGTAGAGCCTGCAGGTCGGTTCGGGAGGATTGCAGCGACCCGCCGCCCAAAAATAACACCGCGATGGCCTCAGCTCAGTGCCTGTGTGATTTGGTAAGCTCTGCAAAGTACGTACCGTAATCGTAGGCACCTGGATTTAGGCACTTTTTGTTATTTTTTGAAAGGACCTGGAGGATAGGAATCACAGTTGCGAATCTTCCAATCTTCATTTCTTTTCCACTTTAGGCTTTAGCCTCTTCAATTTTTATCTTCTCATCTTTTCCTCCTCTGGTCCTCATTTCCACACTTCAATAAGCTTCCAAATAGAGTAACTCACGGCACAAGCGACATGAAGATTGCCCACTGAAACTTTCCGCCTCGTATTCTGCTTCACACCTTTTTCCTCAGTAAGGTAGCTTATCGCTAGCTGCACGATTTACAGTTGCCACTACGCTTGGCTGAGTCCTGTCATTGCGACGTTAGTACACCCAACGCCGTCTCATCGACGCGTCTCTTTGAGCTTAATTCTCTATCATGTAGACCAATGCAGACTAATGTACAAATAGGTAGTGCCTGAGCATCCGAATACGGTGCCGTCTAAGGCGTCTAGAACATATCCTATAAAACTCTCACGGTTTTCTGCTCGGCAAAACTCGCTCATAGTTGGTTGCCAA